ATTTTATGGTTGGGGGTCACCACAACATGAGGAACTGTATTAAGGGGTCGCGGCATTAGGAAGGTTGAGAATCGCTGCTCTAGGTGCTTTAAATTGCCTTTTACCACTTTGATGAGTAAAACTGCCTCTTTCGCATCAAATTTAACATGCTCAAGTTAAATTTTTAAGTAAAAAAAATACACAGAAATGTACATACGAACACACACGAACATATCTATTTCTCTTCTACACACCAATAACTTGGCACATAATACATTTAAAATAGTTGTTGTATCAATGAGTTGGTAGAGTAAAAAAACAACTATATTTATTTACAGATGAATAAGTGTTAATAAGAGATTTCTAAGGGACTTACTCAAAGTGGATCCCAGAAATACTAAGAGAACACAGCTAGCTAACTACTGGATCTTCAGACAGCCAAAGGTGTGCTCCTCCCACGTGATTAGATGACCTCTTTGTCCCTTAAGCTAAAGTCATTAAATGCTGTCCTACTTAAAAGGAGCCACATCATTTTCAGAAGCACAAACCTCAGGCTGGGGCACTTGTTTCATTTTCATCTCAGTTTAAAACTTTCTAGGACACAGCTATGTCTCCCCTGACTCTGTGGATCCGAGTGAACACCTGGCATATTGAGGATCCCAATGCCAAGGAAGTGACTGCAGTACAAGTGTCCTGAGACGCCTCTAAGTAAGTCATGGCGGCACCGGAAGAACAATCATCCCCCCTAAATCGATCTTAGTATCTCTGGGCCTAAAGAACTCAGCACACTCTAAAGATTTCAGATCAATGAAAACTAAACAAAAAACAAACAAAAACCCTCCCAACACTGAAAATAAAATACAATAAAAGGTACAAGCTAAAAGAATCAGTATCTATGACGAGAAGGTTTAGAAAACAAATATACATGTTACTGATAAATTAATATGAAATGGCAATCCTGTTTTAGTTTGGGTTGCTATAACAAATTACCATAAATTACCATAGACTGGGTGGCTTATAAACAACAGAAATTTCTTTGCAGAAGGCTGAAGTCTGAGATCAGGGGGCCCGCATGGTCAAGTTCTGGTGAGGGCCCTTCCCAGGGTATCCGCGCATGGCTGAAAGAGAAGGAGCCAGCTTTCTGGTCTCTCTTTTTTTCCTGAATAACTTAAAATGTTTTCAATTACAGTTGGCATACAATATTATACTAGCTTCAGGTGCACAACATAGTGATTAGACATTTATATAACTTACAAAGTGATCACCCCCAATAAAGCCAGTACCTATCTGACACCATACATAGTTATTACAATATTATTGACTATATGCCTTATGCTGTACTTTACATCCTCATGACCATACTATGGTGACTTCTTTAAGGGCACAAATCCCCTTCATGAGGGCTCCACCCTCCTGACCTGATCACCTCCCAAAGACCCTACCTCCTAATACCATCACACTGGAGATTAGATTTCAACATATGAAGTTGAGGAGGACACATACACTCAGTCCATAACATATTCGGAACACGGAGTAGCAATCAATTTAAAAGTAACGCTATTCCAGTTCAGGTCAGATATTGATCTTTGCAAAAGTTTGTCACCATAAATGTCACCTCTATATATGGACTACAACTTTTCAGAGATTTTCCCCAGGGATTCTCATTGAACTCCTGGCTCAGTGGTAGTGGTATTATAGTAGTAGTAGTAGTAGTGCTATGATAGTAAATGTAATAATAATAATGGCTATTAATTACTGAGTGCTTTCTATGAGCCAGGTACTAGACTAACTTTTTACATATGTTACTTCATTGAATGTCCCCAAGTCCTCCCTTTCCTCCTTTCTTTTCTCCCATCAAAATTACCTGTCCTCCATCCTAGACCCTTGGTGCTTTACAGATTGACAAATTTTATACCTGTGCCAGGCAGAATAACCCTCTCCCAAAGAAGTCCCCGTTCTGATCCCTAGAAACTGCGACCATGTTAACCTACCTGGCAAAGGGGAATTAACGTTGTAGATAAAATTAAGATTGTTCCTTAGCAGGCTTTAGGACAGGGAGGTTATCCTGGATTATCTAGGCAGATCCAATGTAACCGAAAGTGTCCTTAAAAATGGAAGAGGAAGCAAGAGTCAGAGATGGGGATGTGATGACAGAAACCAGGACAGAGTGAAGTGATGGGATGTGAGAAGGACGCAACTGCCATTGCTGGCTTCGAAGATGAAGGAGGGGGTCGCGAGCCAAGGAATGTGCCAACCTCTAGAAGCCGGAACAAGCAGAGAAACAGATACTTCTCCAGGGCCTCTGAAACGAATGCAGCCCTGCCACACCTTGATTTTAGCCCTAGCCCTGTGTGACCCATGTTGGACTGCTAACCTGCAGAACCATAAGGTAATACATTTGTGTTGTTTTCAAGCCACAAAATCCATATTAGTTTGTTAAAGCAGACATAGATACCTAATATATAATGGTAAGCGGATAAGACTGGAGCCAGAACGCCTGGCTTTAGAATCCAAGCCCTACCAACTGTGTGACCTTGGGCAAGTTGCTTAACCTCTCTGTGCCTCAGTTTCCTCCTCTATAATATTAAGAATAATGACTATACCTTATTCGCAGGGCTAAATGAGTCTATAACTGTGAAGTACTTGGAAACCAGTAAGTACCACATAAATATTAGCTATCACTATTCCTTGGATAAACTCCCTACTGTTGTATTATACTATCTTCTCTGAAATTGTTTGAGTTTTGAGAGGGACCTACAATGCTTCAATAAAATGACTGGCCCTAATGCTATGGGTCCCATAGTTGGCTAGTGGAGAAGAGCTTTCTGTGGGGTCACATGTTTAGATGCCTATACATTTATGGCTATTAAGCATCCTGTGGGCTCTGTTCTGGTGACATCATATAAAATGATCAAATGGCATTGCACATGGACTTATAAAAATGTGTACCCACAGGTTTGCTTTACTGCTTCTCAAACACAAATATGTATTCAAACAGAATGTGAGGCCATCTGTGTTTTAATCAGTTCTCAATTTTGATTTTTGTAGATGTAGTTCAAACAAGAAAGATTTACAATTATCAATAGATGAGTTTAGGATGTACTGCAGTATTTTGCTGAAGTCATGCCTAAACTGCAGAAGCTTATGACCATGAGTAATTAACTACCCAAAACCATGCTGAGGGGACTACCTGAGATAGTCCCCTGGAAAAGCCCTATAAGACGTTTGCTTTAACAAGGTTGTTGGGGATACTGTCCACTACTTCATTCAGAGCCCCCCTTCCCCAGGCAAGAATTTTACTTCTTGCAAATGCTAGGGAAATGGTAGGAAAAACACTGCGTCACTAAGGGATTGATTTTCTTCCTCTCTGACAATCAGAACCATGTGACTTATAGAACTATGTATTTCTCCCTCTGCTTTGCCCACCAGGCTTTCAGCCCAATTTATTGGCTCAATTATCAACCATTACAGATACAGTAATACCTTGGTTTGCGAGCATAATTCGTTCTGGGAAAAAACTACTCGTATTGCAAAACATCGCTCGTTTACCACGTTAAAATATATTATAAATGTTTGCTCATCTTGCAGAACACTTGCAAGATTTTACTTATATAGACTTTTACGGCCTGCAAATCTGAGCCTATTTTTTTCCTGAATTTGAGTGCCTACTCTAAATGATATTCTCCTTGGTTCAGAATGTTTATTTTCTATTTTACCATTTTATTTTATTTGTCTCTAAGCCACCTCAAATGCTTTAACAATAAACTCCAAAGGCAACCAGGTATCTTTATGCCCACAGGCTCACACTGGTGTAGTGTGGCTGAATAACTGTACTTTGGTTTTCTGCTCATGTGGCACATACATGAGGTGGCAGCATTGTGGAGGAAACACACGTCTCTCTTGTTCACTAATCTACCATTGTGACTTTGAGCAAGCCCTTCAGTCTCTCTGACCTTTGTCATATGACCCATACCCTCAAAGCTATAATGCATCTATGGTGTAACTCTGGAATATAGAACTTATTTATAAGTGGTGGTCACTACTGCTTTTGTCATTGCAATTGTTGCTACATCTACTTGAAGACTGCCATTGTCCATACCTCAGTGCCATGATCTGCTAGCTTGTTCGGTTGAGAGGGAGGTCAAATGATAAGAAAGCAATTAAAGGGAGGTTACAGGGAATCTCCCACCAGCTGACCCCTCAGCAACTTTCTCCCATCCTTACCAGCCCTCACTGACCCAGCACCAAGACTGCCATGGTTACTACTTTCTTGGGCACCAGGAGCTGTGTCTTTGTTATTCCCTAGACTTTATTTTTTAAGTTATTTTTTAGCTCACAGTATAGAAGGGGAATAAAGGGGATGTAAGCAAATTTCATGTCAAGTGGTCTTTTTTTAAAATTCAATTTATTGTGGTGACAATGGTTAGTAAAATCATATAGGTTTCAGTGCACATTTCTCTAATACATCATCGATGTATCACACTGTGTGCTCACCACCCAGAGTCAGTTCTCCTTCCATCACCGTATATTTGACCCCCTTTACCCTCTTCTACCATTCCCCTCCCTGCTTACCCTCTGGTTACCACTAAACTGTTGTCTGTATCTATGAGTATTTGTTATTTTTGTTTGTCTTGTTCCTTTGTTGCTTTCAGTTTTATATCCCACATATCAGTGAAATCACATGGCTCTCGACTTTTTCTGTCTGACTTATTTTGTTTAGCATAATAATCTCCAGATCCATCCATGGTGTCGCAAATGGCAGTATTTCGTGTTTTCTTATGGCAGAGTAGTATTCCCATTTCATATATGCACACAACACAGGATGTGATGCATTTATCTTGGGTCAAGCATTAGTCCTGATAATAGACTTTAAAGGCCATACAACTTTGGGTAGGGAAGATGGTCTATCAGTTAGCAAAACTGAGGCCAAAAATAAATCAACCAGTCAGGGGTAAATTCAAGTTGAACACGGAGACCACAGCCGACTGACTAGTTGATTACATGTTTTCTAATTTTCGCCTGGATGCTCTGCATTTAAGATACGAGACAGCCTGCCCCTGGAGCCTCAGCTCTGTCCTCCAGCAGCAGTCATAATGCCAACTCTGCCACACCTGTTAGGTCTTACAGTCATTCCCCAGTGCCACTCAATGCTAGAGACACAGCTCCTGTCCTCAGCAGCTCGGTCTGGCAGGGGAAGAAAGTCACGTGAGCAAATTTCATTTTAAGGGGTCTTTGTATAATGTCCATTTCTTGTATGCAAAGGACCCACATTAAAATGTTTTGTGTACAGTCAAGCTCTGCAAAGAGTTATATGTGAGTTATGCTGACTTATATGTGGTATATATTTTCATTGCAGACTCTGAAAAGCTAGAAACTTAAAACTATATATATATATAAGAATATCATCTCTCACTTGGATGACTTCAATTGCCTCCTAAATGGTTCCTGCTTCTACCCTTGCTCTGTACAGTCCATTCTTAACAGAGCAATCAGAATAGTACTTTTCAAAAGTTCAGCCAGACCCTGTCTTTCCTCCGTAAAAGCCAAAGTCCTCACAATGGCCCACAAAGCTGTATATATACTTGGCCTCCCTCCTAACCTCTCTAACTCATGGCTACTGCCCACCTTGTCTCATTGTCATTTCTGCTCAGTCACAAGGGCCTTACTTCTCCCCAAACACACCTGGCCTGATGTGCTTGCAGATTAGGGCCTTTGCTCTGGCTGTTCCCCTACCTGGAACTCCCTCCCTTTTACCTCCTCCAAGTCTTTCTCCAATCACACCGTCTATCTGAGACCTAACTTGAAGAATATAAACCCTGTCTTTTAAAACTGCAACCTGCACCCTCACCCCTATGCCAGCATTCTTCACTCCCCTCCCCCCACTTCTCTTTCCTCTTTTTCCACTGCATTTGCCACCTTCCAACATGCTTTCCAATTGGCTTCTTAAAAAAACGTTTACCTCAGCACTACTGACATTCAGAGCTGGGTAATTCTTTGTTGTGTGTGTTGGGGGGCTGGGTGGACGCCCCATGCATGGTAGGATGTTAAGTAGCATCCAGGTCCTCCTCCGTCGGGTACCAGTAGCACTGCCCACCCCAAGTTGTGACGACCAAAAAAGGTTTCCAGACATTGCCAAATCACCTGCTGATTGAGAACCACTGGTTTATAATTTACTGCCAGTGAGCCCAGCTAAAATGTAAGCGCCAGGAAGGCAGGGAGCTTTGCCTGTTTGATCACTGTTGATTCCCAAGCGCCCAGCACAACAGCAGGCATGGAACATGTGAACGAATGGATACTTATTTAAACATATGCACCCATGACAAACATACATTTCAGATTCTTCTATTAGGAAGTGGTCCACATTTAATTTTACCTCACCTTTTTTATATTTTCATACAAATAAAATAACAGTAATGAAAACAGAAACAAAAAAATACAGAAAGGAATATTTTTCTGTCTGTATCTAACAAAACGTTGTTCTGAAAGGCAATTCAGAATTAATCTATTTCTTGAAAGAATATACCGTCTTATCTATAATAAAAAGCGACACGACTCTCGTTCATATTTGCTTTTCTCTGTCTACCAGCATAAAACCTTTTTTTATGAGTGCTGACCTTAGAAAGTAATTGTCTCAAGGGTGTTACTGTTAATGCCATTTTAAGAATGAAGGACAGTGTTCCCCAGAAACTCATATAATATTGGTTGTCAGCTATATTTTTAACAAAAGTTTTAAAAATAAAAAAAATACATTGTAAATAAATAAATCTGTGGAATTAAAAAATAATCTGCATTCAAATCCCTCCCCCCCAAAAAAGAAGAAAGACAATGATACTTAAACAGGCCAACATTCACAGGCAAGGGGGTGAAGAGGAATAAATTAATTTTTAAATGGACTTGTCTGTCATAGACATCAGATTTGACTAGAATTTAACTTATCTCAGAGAGCGGGTGGCCCTGCCTAAAGGGTGTCATGTGATAAAAGATAGTAGAAAACGGTTCTCAAGGAGGAAGAGGGGTGTGATTTTGCACCCACACCATCACTACCACCAGGGAAAATTTGGCAATGTCTAGAGACATTTTTGATTCCCACAACTAGGCTGGGAA